GGGACAAGGCTGGACAGGGGAGTGACATCAGTGTGTGCAGATCCCTGATGGCAGGGAATGAACTCAAGGCAGTCTGGCTGTTCTCAGCAGTGCAATTGTGAAGCAAAAGAGGGCAAGGACACAACTGAAAAAAAGATGGAGTTCCATAGTCAAAGATGGGAACAATTTTTCAGTTTGAGGGGGGACAGAGAGTTGAAAAGGTGGTGGAGTTGCTGTGCTGAGAGAGCCAGCATGGAACTGTCCATGGTGCTGGACATTATTATCTTGTTGGTTGTGCTTGAGGGGAATGAAGCAATTGCACCCCAGAGTTCCCGCCCAAGTGGATGATTTTGTGACTCTGCTGAGAGGGTTCAAGAGTCATGCTGGGAAGAGACTTTGACAAATGTGTGCTGGCAAGTGGAGACTTTAGCAGAGCTGTGCTCAAGAGAGCAATAATGTGTACAAGGCTTTGGTGTAGCAGGTGATCGACTTGTATCATGTTCTGGAAGGTTGACAGCATCCCCTGCTTCATGTCCCAGTCTTGGTTTTTAATGGTGGTCACATCTTTGCCAAGAAATGTGATCATCCCCTTTTCCATACCCCCCCAATGCCCTGTCTGGCACGGGACGGGTGAAGATGTGAGACCACCACAATTCAAAACGGGGAGAAGACATCTCAGACTTTGATGCAAAAGAACTCTATTGAGTCAAAAGATTGAAGAGAGAAGAGAAATAAGTCGAAGGGATCCAGTGTTTTGTGCAGGCAGGGCGACCATCAGCTGAGGAGCTTTGCTTGCAGGAGCTGTTGCCAGAGCCCTGAGCTGGTGGTGTCAGGGCTGGTGCCGAGGGCCCTTAGCAGTTGTAGCCACCCCTTCTGCCATAGCAGCCCAGGCCTCCCAGCCCGTAGCCACAGCCCAGCCCATAGCCAAATCCACGGCCATAGCCAAAGCCACCAAATCCCCCAGAGATGGGCTGTCCCTGCACACTGAGTTCAGTGCCCACGGCAGCCGAGGAGGTGGATCCGACGGCGGTGTTCTGGGGGAAGGAGGTCATGATGGGTCCTGGCAGGGTGACCAGCACAGGGGAAGGGTTGATGACAACGTGGGAATCCTGGCATTGCAGGGCACAGGGCTCGTTGCAGCTGTTGGCCAGCGGGGTGGGTCCACAGGGACGGCAGCAGGCCATGGGTGTGGTGTGGAGGGTCCCTGGAAGAGAGGGGGGTGAGGCAGGGCAGGGCCGTGGGGGTGCTTTGAGGGGCGGTGATTGCGGAGGGCTGGGGAGTGTGGAGGCTGTTGTGGGGCTGTGGGGAGGCGTGAGGGCTGCTGAGGCTGGGGCGGAGCGTGCTGGCAGAGAGGGGCCAGGGGGCAGGAGCAGGAGGGGCAGGGGCTTGAGGCTCACCTGGTTGTGGGCAGGAGCAGGAGAAGAAGGCGTGAGGAGAAGTGTGTGAGGGAGAGAGGCACTGGGCCGGCTTTTATGCTGCTCCTGGAGGGGCGGGACAGCCTTGGCCCATGGCCTTGGGTCATTTTGCAGGCAGCAGCTCTTCAATGGCCCACCCTGGTGAATCATGAGCTGGGGAATGTTTTCCTTTGTGCAATTCTGCAATTCCATGCCCTCTCCTTGAGTTTGCATCCATCTGACCTTGGCGGATGTTTAAAGTTAGAATTGGTATTTAGGTGGATTTGTATGGAAGATGCGTGTCAGAGAAACCAGAATAAACAACAGCTCCTTCGGAAAATTGAGGTGTCATCAGCGAGGTTACCCCATTGCATTTTTGTGGTTTAGTTTGTGGGTGTGTTTTGCAGAGTGGCCCCATTGCCTCACTGTCCTCTCAGGCCGGTCTGGTTTCTGTAGTTTTTCCAGGCATGATCCGCTGCCCCTTCCACCATGGTCATTCCTCCCCACTCTACCACCAGGTCACCACTTCTGTCTTTCTGATTGACCTTTCTCATTGGTTGTGCTGTGCGTTTGACACCTTGGGCACACAGTGTTTCTACTGCTGTGTGACATATCCAAAAAGGAGGTGCTGGGGGATCGGCGGAACATGCCTTTTGAGCAGTGGTTGTATACACTGGATTTTTAGATGCAGACAATGAAGCCAGCGGAGAGACCTTCTCCTTCTCGGCAGCTGCCTGAACATCAATTGTGTGGAAGTTGTTGCTGCTCTTTTCCCCCTATTAGCAAACGATAGGAAAACTGGAAAGAGCTTGAATTGCTGAATCCTGGAGTGGAAATGGTTGTGGGCAGCCTGATTGGGCTGTCTCATTTGTATCTCTTACATTTACCTGACAATGTACTCTTTTATTTAAATTTTATTTCTTGATCTGCTTTAGAAATCTGGTAAGAAAGAACAAATGGAGCCTGATCTCTATTTTCACCAGGCTTGTCTGGCCTCAGGTCCCTTCTTCCACATTCAAGCCAAAAGGATTTATAATATAAATCCTGTAATTCTTAATATTGTGTTCCTGTTAGGAGAATGTGATAATTCGTAATGGATGCTCAGCGATCTCCTCTTTCCTATTTGTGTCATAATGTGGACATTTCTTTATGGAGTTCTACGATTCTGTGTCCTTCTCCTGAGTCCATATGTGGTCGACCTTGGTGGCAGCTTTTAAGTGCAAGTTGCCCTTTGGGAAGATTTGCATGGAAGATGTGTGTCAGGGAGGGCTGAAGATGTGACCCAAGCTCTTGAGATGTGTAGTTTCCTCACTGCCATGACCCATGGGCACTGGTGTGCTGTGGTTTGTGAGTGTTTTTTGAAGAGGGACCCCATTCCCACCCTAACCTGTCAGACTGCTCTGGGATTTGCAGCTGTACTGCAGGTGTTGTCCATTCCCTCATGTTCCATCCCTCCCCACCTTGACCCCACCTGGCCAAGCCKGACACTGAACCTGACCTTTTCCATTGATTTTGCTCTGTGGGTGCTTGGTGCCACTCTTGCTTTTAAGGTTTTGTTATCCAAGTGTTTTCAGATCTTTACTTCTTCTGTGTGCCAAGGGCTGAGGCCAYGTGTGATTGTCAGAAAGAKGATTTGAARGTTGCCCAGAGYTGTTAGAGATGRGCATTSCATGATCATYGACAACAAGCCAGGCAAGTCCAGRTTGTGTCAGTGCCCGGTGTGGTGGCATGWGAAGGGTGTGAAGGGCTGGACCCAGAGGCTTCTGGTCAGGGTCCTGAAGTCCAGATGGTAGCCAGGCTCCAGTACTGTAGCCCGGGAGTTGGATCCTTTGGGCCAGCACTGAAAGCCTGAGTGGACCTGGACTTCTGCTGGAATTCAACAAGGGCAGAAGCAAAGCCCTGTTTCTTGGGGGGAGGCATCCAAGGTAGGAAGGAATGCCTGGGTATCAAATGTAATAATATTTTTCTTCTGAGTAAAATCCTTTGTGTTTCTGGGTGAGAAGAAATGGATTGGGGTAGGATTGAGAAGACTGGTAAGACCAAAGAGGAAGGTGACRTTTGCTGTCTGCTTAGAGCTGCTGCTGTGCCATGTGCAGCATGGGCAGTCCTGGACTCCCCAGTAAAAAAGAATGAAGTGGATTTAGTGAATCCAGACCAGTTCCGAACCACCAAGATTCCAAAGGGGCTGGAGAATCTTCCATCGAGGAGACGTGGCAAGAGCTGGGACTGCCAGGAGACAAGGCGGGACAGGAGGGTGTCATCAAACTGTGGAAATCCCTGATAGAGAGAATGCAGTCAAGGGAACTGGCTGGTCTCAGCACTGCACACACGGAACACAAGAGGCCTTGGGCGCAAGTGAAAACAGATGGAATTCCATTGGCCAAAGAAGGGAAGAACTTTTCAGTGTGAGGGTGGTCACAGAGGGGAAGAGCTGGTGGAATCGCTGTCCTGGGAGATGCAAAAGAGAACTGTCCATGGTGCTGGAAATCCAGCTCTTGTTTTATCAGGGAGTTGAAGCACGCGCACTCCAGAGTTCCTGCCCAAGTGGGTGATGTTGTTCCTCTGTTTGCTGGAGCGGTTTAAGGGTCCGGCTGGGAAGGGAGTTAGTCAAGTGTGTGCTGGCATGGAGAGACTTTATTAGAGCTGTACCCAAAAAAACATTGATACGTGTGCAAGGCTTTGGTGTATCAAGTAAGGTGCATGTGACAAATTCTGGAAGGGGGCCCCTCCTCTGCTTTCTGCACCGGACTTTGTTATTAGTTTAGACATCCATGTGAGGAAAGCTGCTGTTGATCTATTCCATGTTCCCCCATGTCCGTTTGACCTGTGGAATGTCCTTGGTGAGGATGTGAGACCACTGGAATTAAAAAAATACACGAGGCATCTCATGTTTTGATGCAAGGAAAATTTATTGATGCAAATGAAGAGTCAGGAGAGAACAAAGTGAAAGGAATCCGATATGAGATGCAAGCGGAGTGGCCATCAGCAAACAGGCTTTGTTTGCAGGAGTTGGAGCCAGAACCTTGAGCTGGTGGTGCCAGGGGTGCTGCTGATGACCCTTAGCAGGTGTAGCCGCCCCTTCTGCCATAGCAGCCCAGGCCTCCCAGCCCGTAGCCATAGCCCAGCCCGTAGCCAMATCCACGGCCATAGCCAAGGCCGTAGCCAAAGCCACCAAATCCCCCAGAGATGGGCTGTCCCTGCACACTGAGTTCAGTGCCCACGGCAGCCGAGGAGGTGGATCCGACGGCGGTGTTCTGGGGGAAGGAGGTCATGATGGGTCCTGGCAGGGTGACCAGCACAGGGGAAGGGTCGATGACAACACGGGAGTCCTGGCATTGCAGGGCACAGGGCTCGTTGCAGCTGTTGGCCAGCGGGGTGGGTCCACAGGGGYGGCAGCAGGCCATGGGTGTGGTGTGGAGGGTCCCTGGAAGAGAGGGGGGTGAGGCAGGGCAGGGCCGTGGGGGTGCTTTGAGGGGCGGTGATTGCGGAGGGCTGGGGAGTGTGGAGGCTGTTGTGGGGCTGTGGGGAGGCGTGAGGGCTGCTGAGGCTGGGGCGGAGCGTGCTGGCAGAGAGGGGCCGGGGGGGCAGGAGCAGGAGGGGCAGGGGCTTGAGGCTCACCTGGTTGTGGGCAGGAGCAGGAGGAGAAGGCGTGAGGAGAAGCGTGTGAGGGAGAGAGGCGCTGGGCCGGCTTTTATGCTGCTCCTGGAGGGGCGGGACGGCCCATGGCCTTGGGTCATTTTGCAGGCAGCAGCTCTTCAGTGGTGAAGCCTGGTGAATCATGAGCTGGGGAGTGTTTTCCTTTGTTCAATTATGCAATTCCATGTCCTTCCCTTGTATTTGTGTCCATTTGACCTCAGCCACAGATTTTCATTGCAAGAAAAAAAGGCCAATGGATTCTGGTTTTGCCTTTAACGTAGAAAACTCAAACAAAGCCTACAGGATTCTGGGTGTTGTTTCATGTCTTCATTTGACCCCCAGCCATTTATTTCTGCTGGCCACATCTACTTCCATGCAACCGGCAATATGGTCGGTGTTCCTGGGCTGAAATTTCATAAATGGATCATGCGGTGGCCATGCAACCTTTGGACCAAAAACCTCCAGCAGTTACCAGAACAGGATTAGGAAAAGAAATACGAGCAGGTTGGGGAAATTGTATGTTCTGTTCCCCACCACTGTTGGGCTCCACAATGGAGCAAGGACATGTATGTGGTTGATGAAGAGAAGTGTGTGGAGACCATGACGGTGACGGGACTGGTGTATCCTTTAGATGAGAAGGAACTGAGAGAGCTGGGAGTTCTTTGACGCAGGAGGTAAGAACACAAATGGGGCTTGTCAATGTGTCATGGCGTGACCTCACTGATGACACCCCAAATCTCCTCAGCCACGGTTGAATCCCCTCTGTGTCATGAGATTTGCCATCAACAACAAAACATTGGTCTCTAATTGCCGCAACTAAAACCTTCCAGCAAGGTCAGATGGACATGGCCTCAGGAGGAGAACATGGAATTGCACAATTCCATAAAAGAACAACCAAACAATGACAAAGAGGTAAAGAGGAGCTTACTTTATGTCCGTTGGTAATTACTGGGTTTTGTTCACAGGAACAAAACATTGAGACATGCAGGTTCTATGTTTTGACACRGTGAGGCTTGAATGCGGAATAAGTGAATTGATGTGACAGAGCGGCTCAGGAAAAATGGGACTGGGCCCTGCTTGTTCTTTATGGAATCTCTCAATGAGATCAAGGAAAACACATTAAATAGAAGACTACTTTGTCGTGTGAATTTCACAATGCAAGTAGAGCATAACACTAGAACAAGTTCAGCCTGACCAGGTTCTCATTTTCCTGATCCTCTTTCTTGATCTCATTCAAGGCACACGACAATGAGCTCTTTTTCATTAATAACGTAGAGAACTCAGCTTCTGTGATCTTACACAAGCTATTGCAGAGTGACCTTCCCAGGACATGAGCAGTTCCCTCAGCATTCCTGGGAGCAACACAAGGACTGATGGACATCCAGGGGCACAGAACACAAAGAAGTCATCACAGGGCACCCACAAACCACAGCACAACAGTGCCAC